GGTAGAACCGACTTGATGGATGAAAACCTGTCAAGGTACAGAATAGGCATTAGAAGCAAAAAGTGGTGGTGGCCAATTTTTACTTGTCTTATTGATGTAGCGGTCACAAATGCATGGCAAATCCATAAGAAATCAGGTGGAAAACTAACTCAACTTGAGTTTCGGAGAGAAATTGCAACCGGCTATTTATAAAGTTATGGAAGCGCTCCTAAACCTGGGGGAAGACCTAAAACCTCAAAATTGAGTCTATCTTTCAACAGGATTTCAGATGATGTCAGATATGATGGAATAAATCACCTAGTTATTGAAATTCCTGCAAAGAAAAGGAGAAGGTGTGCAGGAGAAGGCTGCATATCCAGCATAAAAACAATGTGCAGTAAGTGTGATTTGGGTCTTCGTATTCCTTGTTTTTATATTTTTCCAAGTAGTTCATGGATTGTATATCTTTAAATGAAGTGATTTTTGTATGTTTTGTATTTTGAATGAATTGTCTACCTAAAAGCCTAGCGTTACCATACGGTAAAAGTTTTTTTCAACAAAAATTTGGTATTTTTTGCAAAAATTTGTCAAATGTTACCTATAAAAGAGTCATTGCAGCCTTAATCTTATGAAAATGTCCTAAAAATCAAAAGTAAAAAACTTCGGTTTTGAAGGGTTAATGGACCAAGAGACAAATTGCTGGTTGTACAGAAGAATACCCCAGATAGCGACAGCGACTAGCTAGCAAAAGTATCGAACGTATGTAAGTTTAGATGAGGAATATAAATATGTAGGAATTAGTAGTCTTGTAGTAATTGGGTATTGGTATATCAAATAATAGTTCAAACAAAATTAGGACATAATAACAACATCCAATTCTATAAGATTAAGTAAGTAAATTAAGAAAAGCGGGTACGCCAGCGTAAGATGATATTATTATTATATTTATTTTGAATTAAAATAGACCCGAAATAGATCGAGAAATATGGCATTAACTCTAGCGCGATGACGACATATTATATGTCCTCATCTTTTTATTAAGCGCTTTTTTAAACTTCGAGCAGAGATCGAAATTTTTTTAAATGAGAAGCAGCGCCCTTTTGCCGATTTAGAAAATAGTGAATGGATGTCGAAGTTAGCCTTCTATGTCGATTTGACAAATCATATGAACGAACTGAATTTGAGATTGCAAGGAGAAAATCAGCTTCTCCCTGATTTAGTCACCAATATCAAATCCTTCAGGCAGAAAATAATATTATTTCAATCGCAATTACGTTAAAAATGTTCCACACATTTTGAAACATGTGAAATATTCAGCCACACTACAGAGACTGAATTTCCCGTCAATTTTGCAATCGAAACTTTGAGTGCTTTGAAGATAAATTTTGATACTCGTTTTTCAGATTTTGATGTCATTGCGAATGAAATTAAGCTTTTTCAAAATCCTTTTGATTCTGACATTGAAACCCTGGCTCCGGAAGTCCAAATGGAAATTATTGATTTACGGTGCAGTGACATGCTTAACACATTCAATGCTAATGACGGTTTTTACCGACATGCTTCCACTTTCAGTAGTGCGCATGACGGTTTTTCCGTCATCAGCAGTCCAGTATATCAAACTTTAGTATTCGTTCAGCACTCAGCTAGGGCAGTTGTTATTTTGCGAGCGTGGTTAAGAAGTATCAGTGAGTCTGAAAATTGTGTTAGCCGAGTTTGTTATGGCGGATGACGAGGCAGGGCCTTCTGGCGCTAAAAAAGCCAGAATACCCAACAAACGGTACTATTTCAATTCTGAAAAGGACCTAAATGAGTTGGAAAGGTTGCTGATGGAATCTGATGACGAACAATTGTCAGAAGATGTATTCGAGGATGTTTCGGATTCGGATGAGGAGTATTTTCCGGAGCACGACCTGCACAAGGGTACACACACTTTGAGGAGGGATTTGAGAAATTTATCTGATAGTGATGATGACAATGGCTACCAACAGTTACCACTTATTCCACCACCTGTTACAAATACCGAGACATGTGCAAAAACAACGAAGCAATCCTTACCTCCACCCCCTCGTTGGTCAGAAGATACATCCAGCATGAAAGAAAATTATTTCATAAAACATATGGAGTTTCTCATTTCACCAGAAGGTAAGAAATATTAAAGTATTTGCTAGATACTTGATTTGTTTATATTGTAGGTAACAAACCAATAAACTTTTTTGACATGCTAGTGGATGAAAATTTTTATGAAATCATTGCGGAACAAACAAATAAGTATGCAGAGGAAGTTTTCCTTGCTTCGACTATGTTACCATCGGCACGGATTACTCGCTGGCATGATGTTACTGTCGACGAGTTACGAGTATTTTTTGGTGTATTTCTGCATATGGGCATAATATCTACCAACCGACTGCAAGACTACTGGAAAACTACTCGGCTGTTTTCTATGCCATTTTTTGCTCAATCGATGAGCCGGGACAGATTTCTTTTGATAATGAGGTGAAATTTTGAACTAGTATTTTCAATACAAAAATGAAATAATGAATAATTTTCAGATGTCTACATTTTTCACCGAATCCCTAAGATGGAGATCCAACACCTACAGATCGCCTCTACAAACTAAGACCCCTCATTCAATATTTCAATAATAAAATGACCGAAGTTTATTACCCTGACAAAAATCTATCATTAGATGAATCGATGATTTTATGGCGAGGACGATTGTCGTTTAGGCAATATATAAAAAATAAACGCCATAAACCGGATGGTACTATTTTGAAGTTTTCTGTTTATACAGGACAACTGGATGATTTTGGAGGCAAAAACCGTGCTTCCAATGTAGTACTTGATTTGATGGGAGGGTTTCTAGATTCAGGGCAAGCAGTATTTATGGATAATTATTACAATGGTTACGACCTTGCGCTCAAAATGTCCACACGCAAAACATACTGCACAGGTACAATAAGAATCGACAGGAAAAATGTTCCAATTGAGGTCAAAAATAAAACTTTAAAAAAAGGAGAAACAATATATAGATGTAGAGAAAACGGCGTAATGGTAGGAAAATGGCGTGACAAGCGGGACGTGCCCTACATTACAACCGAATTTACAAATGAAATGGTGAATTATACAGATAAATTGAACCGCCAAAAAGAAAAACCCAATCCTGTATATCAATACAATAAGTTTATGGGCGGGGTGGATCGACAAGTTCAGCTGATGGCATATTACTCATGTGAAAGGAAATGAATAAGAAACTTGGCTTGCACATCCTTCAAATGTTGTTGCTCAATTCCTACCTATTATTCAAAAAACGAACAAAGAGTAAAATGACTATGTATGATTTCAGAATGAGTATAATCGAGAGCCTAGTGCCTGAAAAGCTTCAAACACCGCTAACATGCAAGGATAAGAACCATAATCCCCACAAAAATTCTATGGGGTATAATGGAAGAATTTTGTCGAGAAGATGTATTTGGTGGTACAAAAACAAAAAGAAGATGAAGGAAACAACCTTCCACTGCAACGCGTGTGACAGTAAGCCATATTTATGTGTGGATAAATGTTTCGCTGAATACCACGCAAAGTTGTAGAATATGAATAAATTTTATGATTCACATGTTCCGTCTTATTTCATAAATAGTTTGCCAGAAATATTATATGTATTTGACATGACGTATAAAACCGCCATCAGCATAACATAATGAACTCAGATGCGCGTGATAGTTTTTACCGCCATGGTCCTTTTAGCCAAAATTTTGAAGAATCCTTTTCACTTAACCTTAATAAGTCTCTTATGTATAAAAGGTTTAATAAATTTGGTGAAAAAGTGTCTTAGCACCGTGAACACGTACTGTACTTTATTTCGCAGCGAACGTGTTAAACGTGTATAGAAAAATACTTGTCGACGCGATTCATGAAAAAATATCCGGCTTGGGCCGGAAATTGAAGACTGAAGGAACCTGGCTCTCGAAAAGATTGCTTAAGTGCGGAAAGATATCATTTCTGAAAGGGGTGGCGATTTCGAACGGTACAAAGCGGGCAATGAGGATCATATCGGATGAACATGATGGGATACCTACATTCCAAAAATACCTCTCTGTATGATCAGCACAGTCACTGAAAATATCGCCAATAACGATTGGATTCCTGACAGCGTCTTCCTTGTATATTCTGTTGAGTATCTCTCTCTTTTCCTCCGCAAGGGAATAATATCGAGTGAGCACAACCCCAGAGATATCCTCTTATGTCTTTTATGGCCGAGTACCCTGGGGGAACCCCCATTCTCAACTTTTTCTAACCATGTTATAAGAGAACTGTACGATAAATTGACGATATGGGTATCTATCCTGAAGCAGCTCAACCAATTTGATATTGTACTTTTCCACAATTCATTAAAGTTAGCCAGGTAAGAAGGTCGGGAATAGAGCTGATCAGGATTATCACGGACATCTATAGTATAAACGTTGTATCACCTAAAACAGCGAGCATAACTGCGAAGGAAATCATCAAAGAGGCATTATCTCTCTTCACAACAAACAAGGAAGTGTTGGACATGCTCACGCTCGAGATCGAATCCAAAGATGAGCTTATTGAGACATTACTGAGAGTGCGGCCTTTCTTTCCTCCATTGCTGCATGAACTGTACAGAACCTCCAATGCAGGTCTAGTTTACAATAAACAGAATAGGTTCACAAACACGGTTTTAAGGATCCGTATCATAATATTACTGGGACGAATTCAAAACTTATAGACTCTTAGCATAATCTTTTCTATGGACTCCCTTTCAAAGAAAAACGAACTAATGGAGACTCATTGTTCAAAGACTTAATAATGGAAGGGTGGTGCTCATATGAAATCGCCAAGGCTATAAGGAAGGAAACATAGGAAATAGAGATTGAGGAGAT